ACCTGTGCAGCACTCAGTCTGTGGGGAGGGGTGTGAGGGGTTGGTGAAATGCTGGATGGCAGCAGCAGGAGTGACTGTCCTCTCTCGTGCCCCTTGGTGACAGTGCTACAGGGCTTCACTGGCTTCATGAAAGCCTGGGCTCCCAAAACTCATCTCTCAGGGGGTGGAAGAATGTGCAGCCCCATGTGCTGTGTGTTGGGCTGGAGTCCTCCATGCTCATCTCCACTGAGCCCCACACTTAACCCAAGACGGCATTTTTCCTGAACCAGAAAGCTACTTTGGAAATGTAAAGGTGCAGTATAAGAGTTCATTTAAAAAACAAGGGCTAGAAACACTCCTGCTCCAACAGCTATGGGTCAGCTGTGATCGACAGGCCCAATGCCCATGATGAGCAACATGGTGCTGAATCTTAAAACAGTTCAAAATGCCCAACTGATAGGCTGGGAATCACATGAAAATGCCTTCCCCTTTAATTGGATTTCACTGCAGACAGTGCTGGGGTCTTTTTTCTGTTTTCATTACAAATGAGTCACTTGGAAAATGGATGTTTTCCCCTCCAGTAAAAAAAGCTTTGAAGCATGAGTGGGATCACAAATAGCAATTATATTACTTAAGAGATACTTACAATATTGTGCAAGCCTTATTAAACTCAGTGGCAATGATTTAAAGTAAGAAAAAGGTACAGAATCACAAAGAAGTGGAGATATGAGTGCTGTGATTCCTTAATCTTTCTGTTGTGTAAAAAAATTCCCTTCTGATTAATCAGCTCCTGCTTTGCAACTGAATTCATTTCATGTTGAGAATTTTTTAGGAGCACCTTCTTTATCCTTATAGCAAAAGTTTCTTAATTTCACTTTCAGGCAAATGTTGTTCTTGCCATCAGAGATGTAAATCCAAGGTCACTCTTCTGATTTACCTTCTTTTGGGGTTCATAGCAGAGAAAGAGAGGGAGAAAGTTGGCCCTGGGTCCTGTAGTGCAACACAAAATTTTTTAAAACCATCAGTTTCTCATCCATGAGGTGTGAAATGCCCCAGCTCAGCACTGTCAGTGGAAAGCAAACACAAATCTGCACGATGATTCTCATAGAAGGTTTTTCTGGCTACACAGTGTGCATCTTGCTGTTCCTGCTAAAGGAGCAAAGCCAAGGCCAGCATGAGGGTAGGTTTAGGAAGAGCCTGCAGGACTCTCCAGGTGGTGAGAGGGAGTTCTGATGTGTGTATGGTGTCAAGGTGTGCGTTAGAGGACCAAAAGGTCGGTGCTGCCCACCTGAGCTCTGTGCTCCTGTCTGTGTGTGCATACCCAGGGTTGCAGAGCAGAGGGAAGAACAGGCTCTTGTCCTATTGGGTAGCAAGAGCTGCTTGGGAATTTCACAAGTGCCTTCCCTGGGGTCTTCCAATGTGACCATGCATATTGGTGTCCCATGTCCCCATCACAGCTGCACTATGACTGCTCTCCAGGCAGCCCAGTGCCAAAAATGTATTTTTTTTTTCAGCAGTGGTAGGACCAGGGCAGTGAATGTCCTGTGCTTGGCTCTGGTGAAGCTGCACCTCAAATGCTGTGTGAAGTTTTGAACCCCATAGTTCAGGAAAGACACTGAGGTGCTGGAGCAAGACCAGAGAAGGGCAGTGAAGCTGGTGAAGGGTCTGAGCACAAGTCCCATGAAGAGCTGCTGATGGAGCTGGGGTTGTTTAGCCTGAAGAGAGGAGACTCTGGTGGGACCTTCTTGTTCTCTGTAACTACTTGAAAGGAGAAGGTAGGCAGGTAGAGGTTGTTCTCTTCTCCCAAGTGAATGATAGGAAAAGAGGAAATGGTCTTAGGATATTGCACCAGAGGAGGTTTGGATTGGATATTAGGAGAAATGTCTTTGCTGGAGGGGTGGTCAGACATTGGAACAGGCTGCCCAGGGAAGTGGTGGAATCACCATCCCTGGAAGTGTTCAAAAGGACATGTGGAAGTGCTCAAATGGACATTGTGGATGTGGCACTTGAGGACTTGGTTTAGGGGTGAAATGATGGTGCTGGGTTAATCGTTTGGCTCCATGATCTTACAGGTCTTTTACAACCTTAATGATTGAAAGAGAAGTGAGGATATGAGGGAGACAGGAAGAAATGAGGCAGTGAGGGAGCAGGGTGGGAAGGCAGTGGCACCATCAATCAGATGTTATGTGTGGAGGGAGGTCAGGGTGGGAGAGGCAGCAGCAGCTGTGCAGAAAAGCCTGTGTGGGCAGTTTGACTTTGCTTTCCCAATAAGCATCTCCTAGTCCCAGTTTTGATGGGCAGGCTGTCAGTGTGGCACAGTAATTGCTTCTGGATAAAGGTGAAGGAAGCTGCAGGCCCTGGCACAGAGCTGCAGTGGAGCCCTGAAGCTGCCTTTGGTTTGTCCCTTGCCTGATCCAGCTCCAGGGATCCCCTGTACTGCACAAGTTGCACAGCTTTCTTATAATTTGTGCTTATCTGTGTAAAAGTCCGGCACACACGAGAATACCATGAGACATGCAAATACCTATGTGCTTTGCAGCTACCAGAGAAATTAGTGCATAGCTACATGTGCTACATGCTTTTACATACTTTTAAGACCAAGATAATGATAAGCATGCCTCAGTAAGAACATGATAGAGCAATATCAGATATAAAGACAGTGAGGAGATGAGAGTTTAGCCTAGCCTAACAGCTAGATATTAATAGATATTAATAGTCTTTTACAAATTGTGTAGCTGCATATTAAAATAAATTTTCCTCACTCCCTCTGGCATTTAGGCAGTGACAGAAATTTATTTTTCTGTTATTAATAACTGTTGTAAAAACATCATGCTGCTTTCTTCATACAATATGCTGACAATTGCAGTTAACGTTGCTCAGTAACAAAGAGATACTGGAGAACAGAAGAAATTTACAGGAAGTTATTTTCCACATGTTAAAAGCTGAGGCTTCCTCTCCAAATAATGAATTCAGATGATTTGCCTTTCTAGGTTTTTTCATAACTTCTGTGTAACTCCAAAAAGAAAAGAAAGAGGACACTTCTCCCAGTCCATCTCAGAAGTCACCTTGGTCTTCATCTAGTATCTCATTTTGCTCATCAAAGTCTCTTACACAGGGGCATTTGGTTGCCTTTCTTCCCTTGCTGGGATCTTGTCTGTCCTTCCACTGCTGCCCAAGTTACATAATAGAAGTGTGTTTCACCTAAACCCAGAATAAAGTGGCACAAACAAGTCCTTAAAAGAACTTTAAAAGAAAGAAGATATAGTACCCTTGGGTGTAGATAACAGATGCCTTAAGATTTTATAATTCAATACCCCAAAACATCCATTGAGAATAAATGAACAGACCAATAATAATTTAAAAATCCATCTCATAAAAATTTGGCATATTTTGCATATATGTGGGAGAGGCAGTCAGGGACAAGCAACTTACCCCACAGAAAGCACCAAGAACATTTTAAGGCAGCTGTAAATCTGATCACTACTCCGTAGAAACAGAAGTGTCAATCCATCCAAGATGGATATGGCAGACTTGAAGAATTGCCTTTATTTCCCTGTGGTACCTCAGCTACTTCCCTGCCAATGAGTGGGAGCCACATGTGCAAAATGCTCTTGGAGCAGCCCACGTTTCCTCAGTTTTCTATATGGCTTATTGCAAAGTCTATGCAATTATTATGGTCCATATTTTGCATTGTTGTGTCAAGGAAATTTCTTAACATTATTATTGTTTTGTTCTTAAGAGATACAGTGTATTTAAGCATCTTTTTCCAGGCCTTGCTGCAAATTTGTGAAGAACTATAATCTGCCTCAGGAGATATTTCCCCCTATAAAGTACTCTGCCCAAGACTTTCTAGTTAAAAACACAAAACAGACCAACCCAAACTTGAAACTAGGGGTTTCAGCCTGTATTTTTCTGAAAAGAGATTGAAGAGTCTCATTCATTGTAAGCACCTGCTTGCTCAGCTAATGCAGAGGTTTTGCCAAAGCAAATGGACTTGCTGTGTTGGCAGCAGGGAGCCAGGGGGAACCACGAGTACCTGTGGTCAACCCCTCTGCTCCTGACAGCAGACACTAAGTTGCAGAGGCTAATTCTTGGCCCTTTTTACAAGCACTACATTATAAGAAAGGAAACTGATTCTTTTTTACCAGTGTTTAAAATCCCTATGCAACTTCCATTTCCTGTGGCAGTCAATGCTCTGCAGCATTGAAGTCTTTTATTAGACTCTGTCAGTGCTTTAGCATTACAGGAAAATTTATTTATATATATAGATATAGATATGGATATATTGGTCTGTATGTATGTATGTAAAGCATTTATATTTAGCATTACGGGGAAAATAAAAAAAATGGAAGAGAACCAGAGATGCATAGCATATTGGGAGAAACTATCAGCATCAGTAATTTGGAGGTGGGAGGGATGGTAGGAGACCTTCAGATCCCATCCTTTAAGAGTCCAGACTCCCAACTCAGTTCTGTTTCCATTCTTGCCAGCAGAACTTTATCAAAAACAGAGTAAAGTTAGAAAAAGGCAAAAAGTAGAACATGTGTTTTAGGGTTGATTTGTTTGGAGTTTTTTTGACACAAGGAGAAATGGTGGTTTTTTTGGCACAAGGAGGTATGTTGAGGTTCGGGAAAACAGACAGAGGTGGTGTAGAGAAAGTGGAGAGGGAACCATTTTTACCTGATGCTCACAGATCAAGAAGGAGGGTGTACCAGCTGAAGTTTCAGGTGAACAAACAAATGATGATACTTAACACATCAGCAGGCTCTGCAAGTCACTGCCATGGTCCTTGGACAGCAAAAGGAGTAACAGGTTCAAAAAGAAATTGTCAGACAATTTCTTGTTTTACCTTTCTTTTTTCTTGTAAGAGTGGGCTACTGCTACAGTCAGAGACAGCCTACTGGTCTTGGTACACATCTGATGTGAGCTCTTCCAGCCAAATCTTGAGAGAGTCAAAATACCTGTGCATATACATGTACATACTATGTGTGTGTGTATGTACATATGTGTATATTATAGATACTTAAAATACAAGTATTCACAAAGTGGGTGAAACAAAGAGTGGATCAGGTTGAAGGGACCACAGTGGGCCATCTGGTCCAACCTCCCTGTTCCAGCAGGGTCAGCTTAGAGCACATGGCACAGGATTGTGTCCAGATGGTTCATGAATATCTTCAGTGAGGGAGACTCCACCTCCACAACCACTCTGGACAACCTGTCCCAGTGCTTGGTCACCCACACAGTGAAAAGGTTCTTCCTCACATCCAGGTGGAACTTCCTGTGCATCAGTTTTTGCCCATTGATTGCCTCTTGTCGTATTGCTCAGCACCACTGAGAAAAGCCTGGATTCACCCTCTTGGCACCCTCCCTTCAGATACTGACATTCATGAAGTCCCCTCTCAGCTGTCTCTTCTCAAGGCAGAACAGGCCACGTTCCCTCAGCCTTTCCTCACAAGAGATGCTCCAGTCCTTTACTCATCTTTGTGGTCCTACACTGGACCTGCTCCAGGAGCTCCGTGTCTCTCTTGTCCTGAGGAGCCCAGAAATGGACACAGCACTCCAGACACGGCCTCACCAGGGCTGAGGAGAGGGGCAGGATGATTTCACTTGATCTGGGTAGTGTTATTTATTCCTAATGCTCCCCAGGATCTCATTGTCCTTTTTGGCCCCAAGGGTATACTGCTGGGTCATGGACAGCTTGTTGTCCACCAAAACCCCCAGGTCCTTCACCACAGAGCTGTTTTCCAGCAGGTCAGCCCCCACATTTCTTGAATTTCAGGCAGTTCATCTCTGCCCATCTCTCCACCCTGTCGAGGTTCCTCTGAAGGGCTGCACAGCCCTCTGGGGTGTTGCCCACTCCTCCCAGCTCTGTGTCATCAGGGAACTTGCTGGGGAGGCCTCAGCCCCTTCATCTGAGTCATTGATGAACAAGTTAAACAATACTGGCCTCAGTATTGAACCTTGGGGGACACCAAAACTGACAGGCCTCTCCTGAACCCTGTGTCACTGATGATTATATTTATTAGCAAGTACAGTATTAGACTACAGTGTATAGTAGGTTTGGTATAGTCTGTGGTAGGTTTGGTTCCTCTCCCAAATGGGCCAGAGGTGTTTGGATGCAGTTTGACATGATTCCATCTCAGAGCAAGGCATCTCAGGCAGGTCTCTTTATGTAAAACCAAATGCCCATAACTAAATGTCCCTTGAACTTCTTCCAAGAACACATCAGCTCTTGAATACTCAGATACTGCTCAAATTTCAGTTTAAGTAATGTGTAATGAGACAGGCACTCCAGAGAGAACCCAAGCCCCCAGCACTACTATCCTTCCTGCATGGCAGATGGAGTTGTGTGTTCTGCACGAGCCACAGGCTGTGTCACAGCTTGCAGAGGGTGTTCAGGCATTCTGTTGTCACAGCAGTGAAGGGTGACTTTGGAGAGCTTCAGGCCAAAGGTTACCAAACCTCTCTTCCAGACACCAGCATCAGTGTCCTTGACCAGCGTGGACTGAATTCTCACTACCTAATTCCAACTTAGCTGGGAGATGGCACATTCTTTGCACTGGCCCCCCTGGGTGGCAAGCTGGGCGTCACTGGAGGACCCCCAGCACGTACAGGTGGCAGCTTCCTGAGTGACCCCAGCAGGCGCCTGCTCTGGTGCTCTCCTGTCCTGCACCAGCTTCACTCCCTGCAGACCATGGAGGCCAGTGAGACTGAGGCACATTGGTGCACACACAGACAGGCCAGAGGCTTCCTGGTGAAGCACACACCAGTCCTCTGCACTGGCACGTGTAGTCACACACTGAGAGAGATTCCCTGGGATGAGCACAGGGAGCTCAGCAAGGCCCTCAGTTGTAGCAGGATGGAAAATCCTGTGAGCGTTTCCTGCCACCCCATTTCTTCCCCTTCATGGCTGCTCCTCTTGTGCTTGTCAAAACTTGGTCTTTGTTTCAGCTACCTGGGTATCCACTTTGGCTTTCTGTTTGTCCCTGACTGTGAAGCAAGGATTGCGCTGGGAGGTTTTTCTTCTTTTGATAAAACATGTGGACAATCTGAAATCTGTTTCTGGCCAGTTACTCCAAGTACTACAGTACCATGAGGGTAACACTTCAGGGCCTGAAGCAGTGGGAAGAGTGGGAGGGGAAGAGCAGTCTCTGCATCTTGGCATATCCTTCTGCAAAACTGGCAACATTATCCCAGCATCAACAGACCTGTAGAGCAAAATTTCCATTTTCTACTCATTCTGGCCATGGCTGAGCTTTTCAGCACGCATCCTACCTTAACACAGAACAAAACCCCCCTCCTCACCCTTATAGAAACCAGAAGATCTCTGCATCAGCTGCTGGCTCTGTGCCCACTTGCTCCTGGGGGCTCCCCATGCTGGAGGGGAAACACCTTGGTACACACATGCACACACACTCACAGCTCAGGCTCAGTTCTATTCACAAAATAAGAGTCTTGGTAAGTTTCTGTAAAGGAAGGCAGACAAATTTCAGAATCTTTCTATGCCTGCTTCTGCCTGCAGTCAGAGAGTTGTAAATCCCACTGACTTTAATGCACAGTACCTGGCCAAGCAAGAACCACATGTACCCAGGGAGGTGTAGGGCTGTCAGCGCTCTGGAAAGGTGCAGAGCCATACACAGTAGCTGTGGATGGTCAGCCTGACTTCCAGCTGCTGCTCTTGGCTTGCTGCTGCCACTAGCAAGTGGTTTGGTTTTCTCAACATCACAGCAGCTGTCATTTTCTGCCATGGAGACAGTGGAATAGTCTTGAGTACCAGAAATAAGATACTGACTTAATGTAGCATCAAAACTGGTTCTAGAGGCATATGACCACAGAGCCAATAGACTGCACTAGAGATTCCTTCCAAACAGCAGAGCAAAAATCTTTTTGTTGCTACTGAGCTGCTTAAAACCGTCTTTTTAGCAATACTACAGATTGCAGTTAAGTGGTTTTTGCTTGTGTCTGTGGCACTAATCTCAGTCTTTGTCCCGCTCTAGTTAATAGGCTGCATTATTGGCAGACAAGGCAGTAAGATAAATGAAATCAGGCAGATGTCAGGAGCGCAGATCAAGATTGCTAATGCCACAGAAGGCTCCGCAGAACGACAAGTTACAATCACAGGATCCCCTGCAAACATCAGCTTAGCACAGTACCTCATTAATGCAAGGTAAGTTGGCTTTGTAAGTGATCATGCTTCTGCGAGATTGCTCTGTCTGCTCTCCAGCAAATGTCTGTCCTGGGTAGATCCAGAAAGTTGCTTTGCAGTGTCCATTTTGCATAGTATTACTCAATTTCTAATGGTTTGTAAAGCCTGTATCATTAGAACCTGGGTTTGCTGTTGGCTTATATGAAAAGGAGCTTAACCTGGTGCAATTCCAGCTACGTGTTGAATGACAAAAGCTGCAAAATATGAATATTCATATTAGCATCCACTTAAAATATCGGTGGATAAATTAAATGAAATGAAAATCATGAAGTGTTTAGAGGAAAACATTTTTCACAGACCTATTTTACTATCCTGAATGGCAAATATAGTGAAACAGATTGCAAAATAGATTTAATTTACAAAGTGGAAATTGCCATTCAGAGTTGATAAACTGACATGAGGTTGCTGAAGAGGCATAGGATTTACTTCTTCAGAGACAGCACCACAAATGTGTAAGAAGCATTCCTTGATGAGACAGGGTGAAACTGTCTGCTTCTCCATTTCCTGGTCCAAGAATTAATGAAAGCACTGGCTGTTTACCTAAGCCATGGTGATGGCTTAGGTCTCTTAACAGTTTTTATATGATTATTTAGAAAAATATTAAAATTGATCCCATTTTTATTTGCAATTATGCAGAGAAGAAAGTGCAATGGATATAGTGCTGTCTCATAGATCTACTTATAAATGCTGGACTGAGGCAATATATGGTGCGGGAGGGGGAATAGCTATATATTTTATGGCTTTTTATTTTATTTTATTTTATTTCCCCACACACACAAAATTACTGTGATATGAATCAAGCTTTGTGTTTAACTATGTTTGCTGTTAAGGTAGTACAAAGTATGTGATTTATGTGGGAGCTGCAGTCACAGCAGGTCTGTGGCTTCCTGTGGTCCAGCCTCCTCTCCATCCCAGTTTTTTAGAGCATCACTGCAATGGTTGGAGTGGAGGAACAGGATATTTGTGCAGCTCTGTGTTATAGCGGACAAAAACACTGCTTTTCATAATTTAGTCTGAAAGCAGCTTTCTAGGGTAAGATACATATAGGGGTGGCACTGTGAAAACTCAGATAAACCATTTCCAGAATCTTAAAACAACCTACAGCTCTTGATTTATATTCTTTGTAGCAAATATAAGTCACTTCCGAAAGCCCTGTAATCAAATAAAAATGTGTTCCCTCCTTTAACCCTTAAGGATATGTTCTTCTCTTGGTGTTCAGGGATTCCCCACACATCGAGACGAGAATAGACCCCTTCATTTTTAGTTGCACAAACACCACATGGCATGCATCTGGATCTCAGAAGATAACAATTTAGGATCTTGAAGACAGCTAAAGCATGCAAATAAAATAATGCACTTATTAATGGAGTTGCAGTGAGCTGCTCACCAGAGACAGAAACTCTAGTGAACAAAACTGTTTGACTCACTTTAGAAAAATCTGTGAACTTTCACACTTCTGTTGATTACTGTTTAATGGTTCTTGTGGCGGAATGGGGTCTATATGAGGTCTTTAAATATGCTTTTGCAAAGAAGAAAACTCCTCAGCAGTCATATACCATGGATTTCTATTATACTCTGTGAAACCAGAAACAAAATATTTTGTTCCTGTTAAATTTCTAGATAGAAGTAATTTGTTACCATCATCTACAGTAAACTATCATATATTATTATGTACCATGTGTTGGAACTGTATCTAGATGAAGTGACTTCATTTGTAAATGAAGGCTCTTAAAGTAATGTGTACTAATTAAGCTGTAAGGTGAAGTAGGCAATTGAGGTGGCTTTTTCATTTTAAAAAGCGACACTGTTCCAGACCTCTCCTTTCACATGAGACACTGCTGTCCAGCCAGGTGCCAGCACAGCAGCAGTGCGAGTTCAGTTGCATTGGGGGAGGACTGAAGCTGTGAGGCAGGCAGGAGGTTTGCTCTAGTCAGGTGTAGCTGCTGGGGCAGGACAGAGGTGCAGGGCCAGGCCGCTGCTGCTGCCTCTGTGTGCTGGGAGCCACCTCCTAAACCTCCTACAGGTGATGCTGTCTCTTCTAAAGACTGTGGCATAGAACAGCTTTGGGAAGAGACAAGTACAGCACCTAGACTGCCCAAAGTGTGGTCTGGTATGTGAAAATAATAATTACAAGAAATAGCAGCCATATAAGCATTCAGCATAAGGTAGATACTTTTCTCCCCTACAAGTTCTATTGTTAATGGGAATTGGTTTTCAGAGCCAGTATTTCTGCATAAACCAGTATCTTTTCAGCAAATAAGATGTAAAAAGTTATCTGTCCACGTTATTCCTGAAACATGTTACGTGTATCTTTAAGCTATCCTTCAACCAAAGTTGCTATCTATAGAATCATTTATCAGCTTGCTTTAAGACTTTTATTGCAATCTGGTGTTGGATATATACATAGTATATTCTAAATTCTAGATATATAAATATATTGATATCATATCAAGACAGAGATTTAAATCTTTCTAAAGTATTGGTGTGATTCTGTATTGCTTACCCGAGCGCTGGCCTCTGTATGAATAGAGCGTGTCTTAGCTTGTTTGCAGCTGAAATGTCTTTTTTTCCTGTAAAGCCTTCTGTCTTGTTAACTGGTCTCCACTTGTAGTAACTAGATTTTCATTACCCAGTTCCATCTTCCTGCTTTTTTTAAGATTGAACTGCAGTTTAGTTTTTCTGTGTAATATCTGACTTTGGATTATAAATTAATTTAGCCATCAGCACTTGATCCTTGTTGAAGGGCAGTTTCCTGAAGGTATTTTTTTACGAGAGGTTCATTCACAGACCCAACAGGACTGCCAAAGCCACACCTGCTCTCTTCTCTTCACCAGTTTCAGGTAATACAGGATGTGGCCTTCAGTGTATATATTCAGAAGGTGCAGGCCTGCAAAGGGACAGTGTAAAATTGTCACTGTGAAATTTTGTATGAAGGCTGCCTCACCCCCTTTCTTTCACATTGTTGCATCCACAGTTGGTTTAGGAAACTGCTACTGCCATGGGACAGCTAAACCTGATGAACTCCCACCTTATGTGTTGCCATCAGTAATAAATGGGAAATAGGGCAAATTACTCCTACAGTCGTACCTGTGAGAGTAAACCAGCGACAGGGAGTTGGAATGGCTGCTACCAACACCAGCATTTTGGCCTTGTGGGATCTGTTCCCCCTGCTGGTGCAGGAAAAAGCTTAGGCTTAAACACCCCCCCACCCCCGCCCCCATATCAGTAAGGACTTTTTTAATTTTGTTAAATGCACAGTAGACAAATTTGGAGTCACTGAAACACTGAGTCCTGCAGTACCTTTCTATGGACCTCCATCCCAGAATAGTACCGAGTAATACTAAAAAAATCCAACTGGATAAACTGAGTTTTACAAAACACACTAAGGTATCACATGTAGTTCCTACATCCCCAAGCTGAGGATGTACAGTGGAGTTGGAGTCTTTGATTCAGTGGTCTTGACATAAACCCCTCAGTGTGAGTAGATGGCGAGCAGCACAAGGGTGCACTGTTTAGAAAAGCTCTCTGAAAAATCTCCCTGCTTAGAAAAGCTGAGTTTCTCGTCCATGGGGACCGAGAAAGACTTTGGGGTAGGAAAATCAAAACTTCACTTCCCTCAAAGGAGTCTGAATTTCATGCACTCACCCTCCTTCCCTCCCAGCTCCTCACAGAAGATGCACTCCTTCCAGCTTTCCAGGAAAAGCTGCTGAGGTGTTTGTGCTCCAAGAGCCCTCTTTTCTTTGCGGAGAAGAGAGGAGCTCGGTGCTCAAACATTTCCTTTTCTCCTCTACACTCCTCTCCCTAGCTCAGACCCAATTCAGGTGTCCTTCAGACTCACCGTCAGCAGCAGTGCTTTGGGAAGCTCTAGTCCAGTGTCCCCATTGCCTACGTATCCTGGCAGACCCTGGCATCCTTGCATGAGGCAGGCAGTGTGCTGGTCATTGCCTGTCTCTGGCAATGAACAGCCATGGGGCTGTTACTCTCAAAACCGTGTCTAAAGGTGATGGAAAGAGAGGCTTTTCCAAGCCCTGTGTGGGGCGACCATGTTTCCTTCCCAGCTTGCAGCCTGGCTACAGCTGCTCTCTGAGCCTGCAGGGACCAGCACAAACCCTGTGCTGGGAAGCCTTCCTAAGCTTGATGAGGTGTGGGAAGAAAGCACCAAGTCCTCTGCATGGCCAGCTAGCAGCTTGCTGGCACTTCACTCCGGAAGCAAGGAGCTGCTACAGCTCCTCAGCTCACCTCAGGAGCTTGAAATTAGTAATGGCCAAAAAGACAACCCCAACAACTAGGGGTGACTAGGAACACACATGCAACTGTAGCTAGCAAAGGTTTTCTAACCCATACTCCTATTTCTATGCTAGGCTGCCATAGCTCCCAGCTGGTCACCTGTAAAAAGCATCCTGAAATTAGTATTTGTGTTATTTGCCAACCCAAAAGCCAGTGCACAAGCTGCAACAAGTAAATGGGTAAAGGGAGGATTTATTTAGGCAAACATTTTGGCATACAGAAAACAGTGTGTCCTTGGAATTACTGTATTTTAATGTCTGAAATTGTACAGAAAAGCAGAAGTATATGGGCCAAACTCATCTTGCCTGCTGATGGGTGGAGTTAGATTAAAGTGAAGGTGGTTTGATTTCCTATACCCTCCCAAGAGCCCATCACTGCCCTGGGCTCGGAGGTCAGGTCAGTCTGGAAGCTCCTGGTGCTGGTGGGGTCGGTCTGAGGATGTGTCCGTTGTATCCATGTAGTACCTTGTGTGTCAGCTGGAAAGCTTTGTCATGTCCACTGTAACCACGGCGCAGGCTCAGAAAAGATACCACTGCTGTGCGAAACAGGGTGTTCTTCAGTGTTTCTTTTTGCTAATTTACTGATAATTAGATTGCATAAATCTTTTGTTGTGATATTAGAAAAAAGTCTGGGAAAGTATCAACCAAAGTGAACACACTGGCTAATCTGGTTTG